ATCTTCCTCTGTGATGCAACCGAAATGCTTGTGGTTTCACAGACTATGCTATTTTGTGTGAGCTGCTAGCCTATCGCTGGGTCCTAAGCTATTTTCGGTGTTCAGGTGGGATTACCCTTCTGTACTGCAGTTGGGAAGATGTTTGCTGCATGCATGGTCTCACAACAAATACTCGCTGTTTTTGTGATTACTTAGCCAACAGTGGCCTGCTTTTAATCATGTACAATTATGAGTGCGTTAGCAGTTTGCTGCCTAAAATGAGCCAAATTTCGAGCGCTATTTATATCACTTATTTTGATATTGAAACATAACTTGATTCATAGTTAGATTACATACTCCACTACTTGTCTTATATGAGAAAATGACGTTCAGTTACCGGTCACGTCGTTGAGGGAAAGTAAATAACTGATGTAGGTGCGCTCCACATGGTCAAGTGCCTGGTTGTCTTCTTGTCGAAATTTTGCAGTTTGGCAATACCGTGGTTAAATAACGATCTCCCATTGCTTTGTGTGCGTCAGTCAACTGGGGTCTGGCTCCTTTGCTAACGCCCGTGAACAAGATTGTCAGGGAAAATCTGAATGACGGTTGGAGAAGCTTGAAGACGGTGAGCTGACAACACAGCGGCTATCGCTTCCACGTCCGGTCATCATGTGTAATCAGATGAATTTGCTTCGCCATTGTAAATTGAGTTTGAGCTGCGCTTAATCGAAGCAAACTGAGGGGTATCGCCTAGATTCCAATTCCCTGTTCCACTGCAGTCACTGCTTCAGGTAGTCCAATATGTTGTCTTCGATAGAGGTTGCTTGTGACTTGGGCACATCACAACAGAGTACCTTCAACGTATTTTTATCGTTCAAGTGTTTACATTTGGCGTCATGTATTCGTTCTTCTCTGATGTGGTAGGTGAAAGTTGAGCTGCGGCCGTACTATATGAGCTATAGTTAAATGATCTTAGAATTAAGTGCGGACATACACATTGTCCTTGGTTTCATGGCGGAAATGTGGCGACAGGAGGCGACTACGTATTCGGGCTATTGACATTTGGGGATATACCCAGCTATAATGATACAACATATGGCACGCTTTTATTCTGAAGGACAATTACTTAAGTGAATGCTCCGTTAACTACGTAACCGGAGCCAGATTGTCCGCCAAACTTGTGTTAGTTTTGTTAGCGTGCCTGGATCTACACAGCCAGTTCGAGTAAACCGAAGTCTCAACAGAGGTTGCTTCTAGCAACCCGACCACACAGCGGATTCTCCAATTCCAACTTTGAACTATGCGTCTTATTTTACTTCATGTTTCCGAAACCTTGTTAGTGGAAAAGGAGTGCAGCAAAATGCAAAACATTTTGCTCAGCACTCCAACCTAAGATATTATGTGATATTTTCTGAAGTATTTTTGCACTGGGTCTTTTGTACGCACGTCTTAGGGTAAAAACTTGCACCACATCGACTGTCACCACAACCATAACTAGAAAATACGCATTGTCTATAGTTATTATTAAATAACCTCTAAATATTACTTTGCTTCTTACCAAGAAAATTCTGCATTTCTTAGATTTAACTGAACAATTTGCAAATCATTATTAAATTTATGGTATATGTTATTGCAAGTAGCAATCAACATATGCCTTCTGCTAAGATCCGCATACAGCTATATATTCCGCCAGTTGTTGCGCTGTCGATCGTAAATACTCGCTCGTTTTGTGACTCAAAGGGACAAGGTGGAGATCAGCAAGGTTTTTGATATGAATAACTGCACCCATATATGGATGCAGTGCAATGCTGCAGAGCGATATAATCCTTGTTAATTCACAATTTCTGTTTAAATGTAACAGATTTGACCGGCTGCAGAAGCCTGTAAATGTCAAGTTGATGTGGAAGCCAAACAAGCTAAATGATTTGAAGCACCTACGTACCTCCAACCACCGACAAACAAATACTACACGAATGATACTTCTACAAGCATGTGATGATGAACAGGATGGGTAAAGTTGTCTGTTTTGACGAAGTAAACTCAAAGTTCTTCAAATGGAATGATCTCTGCGATACAGTCCACATATTATCATTTCTCTGCTCGTCAGTAGCCCGGGCGTCACAGGTGCGTCTGTCATTCATAGTCGCTTTAGTACGTGTTCAGTGTTATCTAGAACACTGGAGATTAGATGGGAAACAAGGCAACACCTCTGACATTACGTATGCAGAGTCAGTAGAAACAATTTAACTATGGCTGCTGAACTGTTTTCTGAGCTTGACAATAAAACTGCCAATCTCAGCGCACATTTCAACAGTCATCTGAACAACGTGAGCTACCAGTCTTCAATTCTATAGCCAATTTAACTAAAGTAATTACCTCAGAATTTAACCAGGTCACGTACAGTCCTCGTAATTAGGACCTTCCGAAGGCACCAAACTGATACACATTTCTTCGCTTATTTTTAAGACTGCGTTCGTTAATAAGACCGAAACGCAAGTCGAACTTATCTAAATCGTTATAATCCCGTTGATTATGTTTCTGGAGTAGTTAAGGTCAGGAAGGTAGAAGCTTCCTATGAGTGGAGGTATGCGAAGGCCAAATACTTTTCGAAACACGGCGAGCTGCTTACAATGAATTTTATCAACCTACATACCGGTTTGTACTGTTGTTTAATTAGCACTTGATGCATTTGATTTCGTCATTGCATTCGCAATGCTAGACGCGGATGCGATTAATTAGACGCACAGCCTGTACTGTTCTCCAGTTGTCTTAGTGAAGAAGGCGAAGGGGAAATGCCGTTTCCGTGTGGACTTCCGAAGGCTGTAAGGAATTTCCTTAAGTCGTTTCGTTTCAGTACTATCAGGTGCTGACATTTTTGCTAGCTCGTAACAGTCGAGGATATTCACGGTTCTGGATCTGCGATCTGCTTACCGGCAACTGGCTGTAAAACGTGACCGAATAAAAAACGGCGTTTATCGTCGGTGATAAACAATAGCAATTTAAAACGAGGCCTTTTGGATTATTGACAGCCTCAGTTATCTGCCGACGTTCAATGCTTCGCTTGCTGAATGCCTTGGAGAACGTGGCGGTGTACGGGATGAAATCTTCGTGTGTAGCCAATCGGAGGCAGAGCACAGCGGTCATCTCGAAGCAGCCTTGGAACGGATTCAGTAGTCGGGACTCCGTATAAATAGACCAAAGTCCCAGCTAGGTAAGTGTTGTTTCACCTTATCGGGCCATAAAGTGGCACATAGTGAGTTGAAGCAACCGACTGAGAAAATGTTGGCAATACAATGTCTCAAGTGGCCCTCCATTCATCAAAAAGTCAAAGTCTGGGCCTCGATCAGAAATTCATTATTCATCGAACGCAAACACATTTTATATCTCCAGTCAATTAGAATCACTCACAGATGCAGAACGAATCTCATTCCTATTACACTCTTGACCAGCGTTCGAGCTTCGTTCAATGTCGATCCAAATCAATTGCATGCTATCCTTCAGTTCGTCTCTGCAGGGATCAACCAACTTTCAGACTGTTGACCCAAAATTGTTAAACTCGACCGATCGTTAATTATTTTATCTTACCATCACACAACACACCCCAGTTCCTTCTCCAATACGCAGTCTCCGGGCGATCTGGTGTCATTCTTATTATTGCAGCAAATTCGTCAAAGAATTAAACAATTTAGCCTCATCCTTGTACGAACTACTAAAAATGGAGGATAGGAAATAAGCTTAGCTGAAAAAGCCTAAGAAGCGTTTTTTCGCATTCTACAGGAGATCGGAAGACAGGAGCTGACCCTTAAATTGCCCATTATTGGAGAGATATTCACGTTGGCCACTGATACCAGCGACGTCGGAGTCGGTGTGGTTTAAAACAAAACCATGGGAAGATTAAGTAGGCTAGCAGCATATTGATATAGGCGAAACGAAAATACTCAACCATTAAGAAGGAAAGTCTCGCAATCATCTTGGCTTTAGACAAATGGCGACCCTAGTGCTAGGTAACCAACTTCACGTCGGAACGGACAATAAACCTTTGGAAAGGATTATTTATGCTATAGAGCCTAGAGGAAAGTTAGCGCGATGGGAGCTGCGCCTAGGGTAATACGATATCACGATAAACTATGTGCCAGGGAAGGAGAACGAAACTGCGGAACTTTCGTTACTTCAGATGAACGAAGATGACTTGCCAAATATGGTTTTCGATATAAATGGTAAATTGTTGGGTCAGGATCCCCGACAGCTGGCGGCCGAACAACAACGTATCATCGCTGTTGTATATCAACATATAGCAGTCAAAATATAATTCTTTTATGTGGCATGCAAGATATATCACTATGTCAAGATAGCACCTGGATGAGCGTGAATCTGTATAGAATACAAGCAGCGGCTTATTCATATACATTGTAGTCTAACGTCTTTACGATATTTTTACATTCCTTGTCTACCTAGGAATTTTTCAAGGCAATATGTGGAGCCCGGACCAGAGCGTACACGCACCATGAATAAACTTGTAAAAATGTTTGCATCGTTCACTGCTTACCCGGATACTAACATTTTATCAAGAAAATTAGGAAAGGTTAGTTTTTTATGAATCGGTGTAATCCTCCACAAAAGTAATGACAATTACTATAGCTAAATCTAGGCGATGTATTTACATAAAATTACACCGGTTGAAGTCTGCGATTTTGGATAATGCCTAGCAATATCTCGCAGAAATTAGGCTTCTGAGACATTACAAACAACGGTTCAAATAATTTATCCAAACAGGATATCAGAAATCACCATGTGTGCCTATGCGTAATTCGGATGTATGAACAAAGAACGCAAGGTAACATAACTGCTAATTATTTTGCTAAGACGGACACCTTATCTTCATCCACTTCATCATCATCATCATCATCATCAGCATCATCATCATCATCATCGTCATCATCATCATCATCATCCTCATCATCATCATCATATAATCTCGTCGTGACAAAAATAGACACCTTAAGAATATGATATACGTAAACTCAAATAATGCATTTCATATTTGATAACTTCGCACTCACGTCCATATGGGTAATTTCAAGGTTTATTCCATGAGCGTTTGGGGCGGACAATGTTGCGCTGCAGAACAAGTTGGGTTCATAATTCCTCAGTTGAATTTCTCCCTCTGATTCCTTTGGATGAGACCGGAAGCAAAATTGTTGATGATCTGTACAAGTAACATGTGGGGCTGAGGAGATTTCAATATGTCTAACAATCGTGACCAATTGAAAAACCCAAGAAGGTTGCCATGGTTATTTTCAGAATTGAGTAGCAACAACATTTAAAAATATTACCTGCCACATTGTTTTCCAGTATAGCAATAATAAATATTGCTAGCAGGATTATTCGCATTGTTTCTCTTCTAGGCTCACTAGACTAGTGCTGATATGTAAATAGGTTGTACAATTTATACAATTTCTTTAACGTACAAGGACAACCCTTGACCTGCGGAGGATAGCTACATACTAACTGACAAATCGCCTGCCATTCCGATTTCTATATGCATTGTGATTGGTTTTCAAAAAGCCTGCATATGTTATGTGGAAATAAGAACACTGCCATTTGTTCTGTGGCCGTATGGCACATTTGCCTGTATTTACTTAATCTAAAAGCAGTGAGCATTTATGCTTAAAATGAGCAATACCGATCAATATCGTGCTGTCTTAAACCAACGTATTTTAAGCTATAGTTGGATAAATACCTCAAATTCCTCATCCCACAATTGTACTAATACGTTGTTCAATGGTACAAAGCATTTTTTACAGATGTGTGGGTATAGATGGACTGGATGTCACATTCCGTATGCTTGCTCTGAGCAAAACACACCTACAACGTCCTAATACACCCCTGTGTGCTTCAGTTCATGTCCAGTTGGGTATCTCCAATTGTGCATGGGTGTTGATGTACCCTTCGTAGTGCACCGCTCAAAAAATTTCTTCACACTCTCAGGCTGCCTAGTAGGTTCACTGAAGCTGCACCCAGTCACAGTGATATCGTCCGTGAATTGTATCAACGGCATACAATGTCGTAGTTCTCAGTTGTGCTAGCGGTACGCGCATTTCTCGAGCGCAATGGAGCTTCTGATTATTACGTTAAAATCTGGATGTTTTCACAACCCCTAACAAAGTAACTAAGGAATATAGGTCATCTAATGTAGACATTAATTTGCATAACTACTTTATGGTTGCACTGCTTTGTAGCGGGCTACAAGGTATAGCCCATAGTCATAGATCTCTCAGTAGGCTAGTGGAATACATGAACAACTTGGCATTTAAATGTGTTGAACTTTGGCAGAGGAATAGTTGACTGCCAAACAGCGGTGTAATTCTCGAAACGGCAAACCAGCATTTTCCTCTTTGCAGATCGCGCGTTATACCTGCATGTCATTGGTAATCTGTAGGGAATTCCAGTTGATGACCCATGCAAAGTATTCCGTGAAAATCAATTGTAAGCGTGGTACCAGCACTGATCACTGTGAAACACCGCACTCCACCTCAACTGTAACAAGCGCTAAGCCCAACACCTTTATAAACTGATTCAACAGAACAAATTGCACAATCCACTTAAAAACAAAGTCAGTGAATATTTAAGCTCACAACTTATGAAGGATGATGCGGTGATCCTTGTGGTGACCAGGGTGCTAACCCTACTAGCTGCCGTTTAGACAAGAACACTACGTGTCTTCGTATATTAGTAATACTTGACCATGGTGGATGGAATCGATGTTGCTCCACCGCCAAGGTATTAAATTAGTATAAGCAGCCCACTAGCGCCTAGTCAAACATTGTTACAATTAGATTTGAGCTAACTGTGCTAGGAACACTGGGTGGTAGTATGTGAGTTCCGCAAATCTGCAACCCTTATAAGCAAGGTAATTATAACCTGGTTATATATGGTGACACACGCTTTATAATAACCTATTTATAAAGAATCGTAATGGTTGCTCACATAAACCAACCGTTGTTTTCGTCAGCGTTTTCAGGTGAATGTTTTTTGTTCCAGGAGAAATATTGTTTCACTAAGGAAGTACTTCATCAATCTAGTCATTAAAGTACTATTATCGTGGCTAAATAATTAAGTTTAAGGTTGATATATGTGCGTAAATGAGATAAACGCATATCAGTATGCCATCGCAAAAGTTCGCCGTTGCTTAATAGATACATCCTAGGTACCTTGAACCCGTTCGTCTACGTAGGTGCTTGAATGTATTAAAATATTTCATTTTCCAAAAACTGTCTATACATTTGCACAATAGATTGGATTTTACACAAAAATTATTCGCTAAGCAATGTTGTCATATTTTATTGTCTGCATAGATAAATGTGGTACGTTTAATATGGTGCTACAAATATATTGATCAAGGATGCAGGACAAGGAATAACTCTATACCCATTCCATGCGGTCTGTTGTAAACCATTCAACTCAAGTCAAGAAAAGCTTTATGCATCCGGGTGGATGCATTTTCAACACTTTACACTATTTATCACAAACGTGATATAAACCCCATCAGTAAAGAGGAGAATATTGCAATTTTAAAAGCAGTATGGATGAAGAGTGCACAGATGTCGCTTAAGTAAATTTCCTATTCTTTGAGCAACGGCCGCAAGTTGATTGAACGAATCATAAGATGCTTCTTCTAGTTGACGAGGACAACATTTGTTAAGAAGTTTATTGATAGCTCGTTGCAACTGGACAAAAGCAAGAAACCGCGGATTTTTACTGTGTCTCAGACAATTTTCCAAAGAATCGGTGGAATCGAGTGATTCAGTGACTTTGGAATTGTACATCCAATTCGTCATAAGATTCAGATAAAATTGATACATTTGCAGTAGACAGCGCTAAGAACGGTGTTTCTGAGGGAGAGCAGCAACGGCTAATTTAAAGGCCCCGACTAAAATCTGGGACCTATACAGTTTGGAGTCAAAATTGTTCCGGACCTCATTCAGTAAAACGGTACTTGTTTGTTAACAAGTGGCTGGCTTTCAACTACTGGATGATCACAATAGAGTCATTCCAAATGTTATCTATACAAGTGTGCTGAAACCTGCAAATTAGTTTACGTTCTGACCTGACATGCGGAGCAGAAGATCGAAAGGCTCTTAGTCACAAAATGCAACCATGCGTATAATACAACTTATGCTAAAAATCCATAGTTCCGAAATCGGTGGCTGTGTATCCAAACTCCTAGCTGACATACTTGTTTCAACTGTAGCCAATGTTTTAACTGTAAATTACTTACAGCGGAGCTAAAACTCGCGGCTAAGGATCTTGCTTCCCTTGCTGGGGTGATCGTTAGTAACGATAGACGCCCTGTATCACTGCTTTGGTAGCCGTAATGCATCGCATAAGCGGGGTACGGTCAAAAGAGGGGGTCTAAGGCTTGTAACGCCTGTGTTTTTGCAACTCAGTAAGCTGCTTGAAGAGTTTACATACATTTCAGTGCATTGAGGAAACCTTTCATTTGATCAGTGTTGGATTTGTGGAAAAGTTAGTGCGAATTGATTCGGACCGATGAAAGTTAGGCCACAATAGGTTCTGGAGTGTTGAATGAATCTGCGTCTACTTCGACAGTTTTGTACATTAGTCAAAATTTGTGCGAATTGCGAATGCCATTTTCGGTGAATGCCTAAATTATGTTCTCCAAACGTTGAGACGAACTTTCTCGAAAAAAACGTTTCATGTCATTGCTTGCTTAGTGGATGTTATCCTGGGCGGGAGCTAAGAAGGTAATCAGCTTGATAGCAAAATATTTCTCACCTCTCTGAATTAAAACACTATCATCACAATCCCGTCCCACTTACTTCGGTACCTTGGACGCTGGGTAGTTTTGAGATAGATTTGGCTATAACGTTTTCTAAGGATAGCAGCTCAAAAATATGGCGCACTGATCATGGAGTTGGGTATTTGGGCTACGATAGACGTACACTCTAATATTTTACCTAAGCACACACACTGAAAAAAGCAGGACACTACCAGAACGTTTATGCAGAACTCATGGTAACTGGAGCATCTCAGTAGTTTTTGGCGGTTTATAAGCAGGAGCATTGCTCCAGCACTTGAATGCCTACGCCTATCAGCTCGTGAATTTAACAAGCAGGTTGCTACTAAGGTCATTTGGTAAAGCCATGTCTCCGACACAGGAGTCACATCAACATGTACTCTACTGGTCACCCAGTCTCCCCATTTGTTACACACACTACAGCAGTTAGTATACCACAAGCCTGATCAATCCGGACGCGGTTCTTTTCCCTCGGGCTCCACGCTTATGGGGATAATCCGACGTTTCCTCCCGTTTCACTTTAGTCTGCTGCCTGTGTCGACGGATCAACGCTAAGCTAATCTAATGCATCACGGAACATTCTCTTTGTTGGCTTAGCCCACTTTAGCTTACCGGGAAACCCCCGAAGGGTAATCTTTCATTTAAGTGAGTCGGTGCAACAGTACAACACTTTGGTTTTTCGTACAGACCACATTATTTATATAAAGATTGTTATTTCCCGTACATTCACGGTTGCCACCATCAGCGATTTGAGGTGAATGTTTTCCAGTCGAGGAGAACTGTTGTTTCACACCGGTGGCAGCATACGTTCATCTAATCGATGAACTGATATTAGCGTGGATAACTCCTAACTTTTGGCAGGTGGATACAACTGTGAAAAACGGAACAATGGCTTCTCAGCATGCAGTCGCATATTGATTAATTAATCCTTCTAATGATTAGTCAAACTGTGAATCGATTACTCACGCTGCCTGCACATAATACCCCGAAGACCTAATCCAAACGGAACAATTTAGGCAGAAAATCTATACATGACAAAATTTTTCATTCTTCATCAGCGGAATTCGTTTTACCGCATGGCTTTGACTCAGGGTGCTAGATAATCTACTTTAACTTAGAAGGCGAAGGAAGATTGACTGATTTGCGTCATGGAGTTGCCTTTGTTTAAACGAATTGGAGTTCTATTTCTGACTGAATCTGGGGAATGTTGACGGTAAAAGAGTGGGTACACTTGAAGTCTTTTGGTACCGCCTGGGTTAAGATCAACTATATAGATGGTCCACATGTAACCGTTGGTACATCAGTAGGCTTAGTTTTGCCTTCAGTCATATGTCTAAGGGGTTAGGCGTACTGAATATTTTTGCTTGTTCAAGAAAATGACAAAGTTTTATCTGTCAACGGACAGAGTGAAATGGATCTTAAAAATCCAACGATGATGCAAAGCTGTATGAAGAAGGGCCGGATCATGTATGATACCGGAGAACATTGACTGGAAATATATCCAACAAAGCAACCAGAGCAAACTTGGTCATCTAGGATGAGCTGTTACAACCGATTCTTATACCATTTTGTA